GGGGGGGGGGGCGTGGGGGGGGTTTGGGGGCGGACACGGGGTGCCATATTGGCTGCTCGGAGCATGCTCAGGGCGCTTTTGAGCAATTCAGGGGCAGGTGCATGGGTGCGTCGACGAGGCGGGCAGGTTTCAGTTGCCAAGCAGCTGTCTTGGGCGTCCATTGGCCGATTTGCCCCTCGGCTCCGAGCGCGCGCGGGCGCTGGGGCGCGCGCGGTGGCGACATGCGCGGCGCGGCCGCTGCGGCGATAGCAAGCCGCGCCCCGGTCGCCGCGCCGTGGGGCGTGCGTCTGCAGCCCTCACCTCCCGCACACGTCGCACCGCATGCACCTCCATATTACTGACCACGTCGCCTTGTGTCGAGTGCATCCCCATCGAGCACTTCACAATCCGCATCCGCATCCGCATCCGCCCCCAAAGGTACCAAGAAGAGACGCGCAAGGCGATCGAGTCCATCAACGCGGTGATGGCGCACCTGGGGGCGGCGGCCCTTGACCTGCTGACCGACCGCGACAAGCTGCTGATGCTGGTCGCGGGCGGCAGCGCCCTCGCGCTCGGCGTGTACGGGGCCAGGTGCGCGCGCGGGCCTCGCGCGCTTGGACGGCTGGCGGTGAGGCTTGCTGGATGTGATATTTGCATGCGCCATCAGCACGGCGCAGCTGGGTCGTGGATGAACCAGGCAGTTTGCGATGCGGACAGCGAGGCGGAGGGCCGAGCCTCTTTGCCTGTGCCTTTTCCTGATTTGACCGCTCTTGGTGCCATTCTGCAACTCAACCCCCAACTTGCGGCTCGCGCCTGCCACGCAGGGAGGGCGCGCGCGTCGCCGGCCGCGCGGCGGAGCGGTGGCTGGGCACGCCCAAGCTGGTGAGTGGCCGCGCCCAGCCACGCGCGCCACTCCTTTAAGTGCCCCCATGAAGTGGGGCGCGTGCACGATCGCGGATCTCAATCCGATCGTGCCGCCGGTTGGCTCCTGCTAAGCGCCCTTTGCTACCTTGCGACTCCTTGTTCACGTTTCTGTCGCCTGAACTGTTGTTGTGCAACGCGAAAATTGCGTGGCACCCTGCGGCTGCCGACGACCCGAGCTGTCCGTCCCCCGGATTTCAAACGTCCGCAGGTGCGCGAGACCTCCCGGTGGTCCCTCACCGGCCGCGGTCTGACCGCGCCGCGCGTGAAGAGCAGCGACGCCGTGAAGAAGGACTTCAGTGACATCATCCTGCCTGAGGGCCTGCACAACCAGGTGATGTGCGGCCTGACATAATTCAGATCTGATTGGAGTTGCTCCGGGAAATATTACCCCGCCGCTGTTACACTCGAGCTCAATGAAGGATGCTGGTAGTGCGGAGATCTGTGGTGCGTTGCCCCCTTGCAAGGAGCTCAACCCGCACCTTGATAAAACCGCCCCGCGCGACAGGTGCGGTCCCTGGCGGCGACGGCGGCCAACACCAAGCGCCACGGCGCCCCCTTTCGCCACATGCTCTTCTACGGTGAGCTGCACCATGTGCAAAGCTACAAACCCATTCGCGTATCTCGGGCTGCGGGGCAGGCTGAGGCGAGCCCCTGAATACCGGCAGGCCCACGCCTTGTTTGTGGCTGGCTCCCTCGAATGCACTAATTCTCCCAGGAAGTCGAGCGGGCAGGCCATGCATACCACCAATGCGGCCAACTGCGGCTCGACAAACCCTGAAATACCTCAACTCATTAACCCGCCCGCCCACCACACCCCAATCCAGGGCCCCCGGGGACGGGCAAGACACTCGTGGCCAAGCGCCTCGCGCGCACCAGCGGGTGAGGGCGGGCCCCGCGCCGCGCCGCCGCCCCCGCCACGCTCCCAACCGGCCTCCCCTCGACTGTCGGCCCTCCCTCCCTTTGTACTCTCGGATGGGGCGGCGCTCATTTTGACGCGCCGTGCTTCACGGGACGTTCCATACCCTGCCTGTCACACATTTCACACGCACCTCCCCTCCTTGCCAGTGCTTGCATGCCCGACCCTCCTCATCCCAGCTGCCCCTCCGCCCCGCATGATGCAAACACCCCACAAGTACAATTCAGTTATTCGATAAACCCCATTTCCCAACCCCCCCGCCAGCCTGGACTATGCTATCCTGTCTGGCGGCGACATCGCCCCCCTGGAGGGCGGCGCGGTCACGCAGCTGCACTCCACCTTCGACTGGGCTGAGAAGAGCCGGAAGGTGGGGCAGCGGGCTTCCCATCTGCCTGCTTGGCTGCACGCTGGACGCCCAGGGTACAACACCAGACCGCAAGCAGCACCAAGAATTGAGCTGTGCTCCTGCTGCCCCTGCTCCGGCCGTGGGGCCCCCGCCATCCTCTGGACTCCTCCTGCGCCGCGGACTCGCAGCACCAACTCCCACGCTCCCCCCCAACACGCACAAACACATGCACACACGCGGGCAAATATGCCTCACGCATATATGCGCACGCACACGCATCCAACCATGCGCGTGCACACACACACACACACACACACACACACACACACACACACATGCGCGCACGCGCAGGGCCTCCTGCTGTTCATCGACGAGGCGGACGCGTTCCTGGGCCGCCGCAGCGACGCGATGAGCGAGGGGCTGCGGGGGGCGCTCAACGCGCTGCTGTACCGCACCGGGGACCAGAGCCGGGACTTCATGGTCGTGCTCGCCACCAACAGGCCGGGTGGGTTGGGAACCGGGATGGTTGCATGTGTGTGTGTCGGGGGGGTTTGTGTGTGTGTGTGTGTGTGGGCAGGTGAGGGCAAGTATGTGTGTGCGTGGGGGGGGGGGTGTGTGGCAGTGACAGCCGCGCCGTTTGGGTGCCTGTGTGGGATGGTAGTATCACTCACACACACACACACACACACACACGCACGCACGCACACAAACACACACACACACACACGCTCGCACGCACACACACACACACACTTACACATACACACACACCACGTGGTCACTGCATAACTGCACGT